TTTAATCTCATTACGTGAATATTAAATTTTATACGTCTCAGAAATGTTTAACGAGCGATGAAAATATCAACAGACATTAAAAAGTTGCTCTGACATAATTGTGACTATCCTCYGTGACTGAAACTTCCCTTTAGGATAAGTGTATAATAATATAATTTTATTATGACGTATTGGTGACATTATATACTCATCCCGTCCACTGTTCAGATTAGATAGATTGATAGATCTTAGATATACAATATTATTAGAAAACGAATAAACTTTAAAAAAATAAGATTGGTGTTCACAAACGATATTATTGATTAGAACTTTGTCTGTTTTGTTTGACACGATMTGTGCAGTATTTTAATCTGACGTGAAAGACAATAATATAATACTATAACTTATGATTATATTATAAGAACATTACTATTATTATACCTTACCTTATTATATTTATGTTCATCAATTAGAGGTAGGTTCGAACTATTCTAAAGATCAAACTGAACTTGTTGAGTTCAAAAATCAAGCCGAACTGAACTTGAAAAAGTTTGAAATTTTATGATTAGTCCAAAATTTGTTACGTTTAACAATTAAAAAAAAAAAATGTTACCTGTTTTTTATTTATTGTTCAGTTGTTCCAGTTCAATATCACAATAAAATGTTCGGTTTTGTGATCGATTTGACTACGATCAGAAAGTTTGGTTCAAGGCCATATTTCTTAGTTTGATTCATCTTTATGATTGACATTTTAATCCTTCCATAGATGAATTAAATATATTTTCAAAACATTTAAACTGTTTACACTTAACACCATACCGAATTAAACATTATGTATTATTTTACGCTGCTGCGCAAGGCTTGTCACGAAAATAGTCTCCAAATTCTAAAAAAAATTGAAAATAATGCATAATAAATTTAGAAGCGTATTTTACTATTAGGTACCAAATAGAACAACGTGATATGCTTTTTTTGAAATTAAATTGCTGAATTAAAAGGCATGAGTATATCTTCTTGTAAATCTTTTGGTACAGACAGTTAAACTCCTATAGTACGATCGAATTATCGATACAAACAAAGCTCTATAACGATCAGCCGGTATTTTTATTTTCGATCTTGACAAAAGCTCAAAGTGGGGTAAATTGCATGAAGCCCATCAAACATAAGTGTGCCGCACGGTTCATTAAACACACATGCTCGCGTTGCCGAATATAAATTATCATTATTATTTTTATCGTCTCCGCGGTCGTCGTTATCGTTATGATTATAAAAATATAAATTTTACACGCCCGGTTGTATATTTGTTCGGACGTAGAAAATAAAAAATCTTCTTCGCCTCTCACACTCACCCTCTCTCTCCCGAGGTGACATCGTTTTAAAATTAGACCACTTTCGCCGGGGCACTCGTCATATTATTATAATATGTCTCACATAGGTGTTCGTTTGCGATGCGATATACGCAATTACCCCTATTAATATGTCAACCGTGGCCCCCTTTCCGTTTTCCCTTTTTCCTCGTCGTTTTTGCACAGAAAAATAGTAATAGTAATAGTAATAATAAATTTAAATTAATATCTCTCCGCCGCCGTCATCAATCCGCTGCGGTCGTCATTGGCTTTTGGCCCGCCGAATTCCCGACTATGACCCTCCTTTTGATGTACGTCCGATCCTTCGAGATAAGGCGATAATCCGGCCCAGATATCAGTCGCACCGCGGACACGCTTTTACACGCTTCGCAGACTTCTGTCATCGTCGTACCGTGCCTGTACCGCGCGACCATACTACATTGTACCACACAATATCGCGAACCGTCGTCGCGTCACCACGTTAACGACATGGTGTACCTGTTTCACTTCGAACTTCCCGTGGAGGAGGCTACGTGGACGTCCCTGGCCACCGCTTACTGGCCGTACCTTAAGAGCCTGACCGTCAGCGAAGTGGATGCATGCGCCGCAGCCGTGATGCACCTGTCCCGGGCCTACGATGCCTTGGGACCGCGGCTTCATCCGTCCGGGGGTGGTGACAAAGGTGGCGGCTCAGGGTCGGAGACCGTTTGTAATGGCGCCGACGATGGCCAATCCGAAATCACCTTTTTGACGTTTTACTACGTCAACACCAAAAAAGGTATATAATCGTGTGTGGTTGTTTTATGCCTATCGTCGGTTCGTTTGCAGTGCAACGATCTCACGCGACTATAAGACTATAGAAATATCGTTGACATGGAAAACATTCGTTTGACATTTTCAATTTCACTTTATTGACTTATCTATTAGAGTAACGATTATTTATTATTTTTTTCTAAAAACTTATAAAGTTATATTTTAATTTTAAAACCAGAAGATACTATTATTTTTAATTGTGATACTTTAAATAACTTACGTTAAAATTTAAATATCGCAAAAAATTGACTWATAAAGAAATACAGATAATAATTTAATGAACAGCGATTTCCACATTGTCCTGAGAAAGAAAAAAATTCAAAGTGAATCATGAATGGATTAACTACACTTTGTTTCTTTAAATTGCCTTTTTCAACCTGCATAATACGAATATATATAAGCCCCTTAGAACCGTGTCATCAGCATTTCAAGTAACCTACTTCTTAAATATTAATTAACTATTAATAATAATTATAAAAAATAGCCATTAATAATATTAATTTTACTGTAGGAAACACATTTTTTCATTAATAATTCGTTGACACTCTCAAAGTCACAATACTTTTCTTTCCTTTTCTTTTTTAATTTAATCAACCATTTATATTGATCCATACACATATAATATTTAATAGTTTGACGATAGTTTATCGATTCGTTTAGACATGAAAATTAACGCTGTACGTTTCGTTTAAGACAGAGATGACACATGTGGGCATGCCACGTCCACTCGCGGCGTTTGGCCGTCTGCCGGCTGTGCAGATCGTGATACGTACGCGAATCAAAATCATCAATTATCAGGCAATTATGGTGGTGGCAATGAATACAATATAACATAATAATATTTTGATTTCAACGATTAGACGATCTTGTCATGTAATCATGTCAGCTTTCATTTTCATCGATAACAATTTGCTGCGACGCGATTCGACAGTGCACGAGAAAACATTGGCCAATTGTCCCGACACATTTTTTTATCGAACACTGTCATTACGAGACCGAGTAAAATAATCGATACACTTTATGATGATGTTGAAGCACTTGTGTCATTAATAGTCACTATCGAGTTACCGAAAACATCATCATTTTTCAAAGTTGTGTATATCATGTGGTTTTGTGAATAAACTCAATAAAATGTCTTACTATTATTTGAGTTCCTTGATAGTTTAATGAATCAACTTYTKTATTTAATTTCAATCATTTATACTTTGTTATAGCTCCTTGATTTTTACATATATAGGACTATGTTAACCATATTATTTCGGTCATCAATTTCCTATTTTTGAACATCATTTTTTGTTAGTTTGATGTACATAGGTACTATTTGGACATTCCCAAGCTCGATTTTCTCAATTTTCTTYTTGGTAACCTAGGGTGAACTATAAATGATGGAGTTTTGCTGTTGAACTATCCATTAGAATAGATTATTTGAAACAATATAAGGTAATACAAAAATAATAGATTTTATTTTATTTTCTAATATAATATTATTATCTATTCCCCTTGTTGGGTATCGACTGTTGTTTTTTTGGCACATGGAATTTTTTATACAACATATTTGTGCAGATAATCCGACATTTATATTATTTGGTATGTCTTAAATTCTTCACTGGAAATTCCATTGAAACATTAATTAGCCATTMTTTAGCCAAGCTCTTTAYTAACGAACATCGTTTCCCATCGATCTACAGATATCGCAGGCCACTATAAATCTACTACATCAACTTTGACTATACTATTACAGYCATACCTTGATAACTTGAATCAYAATAAAAACTAATTTGACTTAATATGTATTATTCGAGGTATACAACTCAATCAATCAAACACTTTAAGGGGCAAAATAAAATTGATTTGTTGAGACTTCACTGTAAATTGTTCAATTCTATCTTGCCAGTAATAGCATAATACAATATCCGTATTAATCAATGTATTCATGTAAAATATGATTTCTTCTAGGTAAAACATATTTATTTTTTTTCCATTGTGTAAGTGCTGTCAAACCTAAAAATAAAACTCACACGCCCCTAACGTTGAAACATTGGTATGAGACTATTTTTCATTCCCACACCAACCAGATAATAATAAATATAAGCATACTGTATTTTATTCAGATAACTGTAACAGGGAAAAACACAATTTTTATTTTTATGTGACGTAAATATTTCACCCTCGTGCCTTAAAGTGTTTCATAATAATGTATATAATATGCCGAATACCACTCACTTATAGGTATTTATCAAAAAATTAACAAAACGCATGAGCTTGAAATTTTGAACATCATAATTCTTTCAATGCTTTGGATATACAATAAAGAGTGATCTTAAAAAATCAAAACAATTATTATGATTGGATATTATTTTCAATATTGTATTATTTATTAAATATATTGATTTCTAACCGACATGGATATTTTATATAAGCTTAATTGGTGGATATTTATTTGGAAATC